CCGATGCTGTACAAGTAATCAACGCAATGAGTCATGGGGCGGAGTGAAGTCGTCAAAGCCAGAGACACAGTCGGGCGTTCAGCCCCCCAGCGTGCCCTGCTGCCTGTGCTGCTCCTTCAACCTCTTCTCCGTCTTCATGAACTCCCGAATCCCGACCGGAATGTCCGCGTACAGGCCCTCGTCCCACGCGTGCTTTGCCGGTCCCTGTTCTGGCGGCTGCGGCACCCAATTGAGCTCGGAACCGCCGCCGTCGTCGTCCACGCTGCCGTCATTGCCAGCACTGCTGCTGCTGCTGCTGGCCTGCTCCGCCTCCGTCTCCGCCAGGGCCTCCGCCTGCTGTGCCGCCAATCTCGCCTCCGCCTCCTTCTTCGCCGCCGACCACTCCTCGAGCTCCTCCTGGAACAAATCGTACACGCAGTTGACGCACCCGCTCATGCAGCAGTTGTCGGGTTCCACGGGCCGCGGCGGCACGAGCACGCCGGCGATTGTGACCGTCTTGGCCCGAGCGGCAGCGAGACGTTCGGCGCGGGCTCGAGGACCGGAACGGATCTCGCCGAACACGAGGCGGGCCTTCTCCTCGGCGGTCGCTGGAGGGGGACTAGGCACTGGCGGCTCCTCCTGTTCTGTGGCTTCAGCATGGGAGGGTTCAGCCGGCGCGCGCTGGGGAAGTGGGGGGACACGGAGCGATGGGGGAGGGGAGGGCGGTGGACTTACGCTTCTTCGCGGGCTCCTTCTTGGCGGAGGGGGCGGCAGACGCGGGAGGCTGCTCGGGCTTCTGACCGGGGATGGGCTGGGGGTCGTCGAGCATGGCTTGGTAGAAGTTGCCGATGGGGTGGGCCTGCTTGTTGGAGGGCACAATGGGCGCAGGAGGTGTCTGGGACTGGATGGTGTGGGTGGCCGAAGACGCGAAGCGAGCGGCGGGAGCGCGCGCCGCCATGACGGAGCGCATACGGGGGAGGATCCTGGAGACCGACATGGTCGTGAGTGCCGAGGGCTGCGTGGTCGAAGGGGTGGGTGAAGTTGATGGTAGTGAACGATCCAGAAAAGTCGTCGAGGGTCGGGATGCGCCATGGAACGCCGGGATATTCACGTCATGAAGTCACGTGTTATAGTGACTAAGCACATATCGAAGCACAACAGAGTAGTTCACAAGAACAGATGGAGCACTATTTGATGCCAGATCTGTCCAGACGTTGGGAAAGACTTGCCAAAGTGCAATTGATTGTTCGTCCAGATTGTGTCCAGTTCGCTCGAGGCGTGGTCGCTCCAGGTCCACGGTGTACTTCGGAGCTCATGACGGAGTTGACATTGAGCCCAATCCGGCAGGCGGTCAGCACAGCTCCCATCTCGACGCGTCTGGGGAGTGGCACAAGCACAGCACCAACCAGTGTACTTATGCGACAAGTCCTACAACACCAGCATCACCCCGTCGAAGCTCTCGAACCCCTCATACCATGCGACTGTCAGACCACCCATGAACAATATGGAGGATTCCTCCGCGCCGAAGCGCCGCCGTATCTCCCCTCGAACTAGTATTCCCATCCGGACCGCAGACAGAGCGAACTCCCCATCAGCCGATGAGACCCCCACATCACAGCCTGCGCGTCGTCGACCGTCCTTTGCCTCTCCCACCAAAGCAAGCCTGGCGAGGACAAATCCAGATATCTTACGCCGCCGTTCGACCCAACAGACAGACGAAGATGCATCCCTGTCCCGAGCAGTCGAGCCCGGCGCAGAGCCCAGTGAGCTCAGCAATCGCGACATGACGACAGCGCAAGAACCCAGACCACCGTCCCAAAGTGGACGCGCCACGGGAGCAACGCGAGCCAAAGACGGCGGCCTTCGCGACCGTTTGGCACGTAGGGCAGAGCAGCAAAATTCCCCAGTCCAGGATACAGAGCCGGCTTCGATGGGTAGCCCGGCGCGTCGTCCCCCGCGAAATGGGGCGGGACAGCTCCGCGCCAAGCCGCGACGATCGCCGGTCAAGCCCAACCCTAGGCCCCTACCGCCGCCGGATCCCGAAGACGAAGGTTTTGATCCGTTCGCCAGGCGTGGTTTGAATCGCACGCCTCCACCAGGATCACAACCTGCCGCGCCCGAACCGATAGACCCAGTGGACCCAACACGAGACCTGGAGTCGTCTCAAGCACGTCTGCTGGACGAGTCGCAACCAGGATCAGAGGTGCCCGAACCAGAAGAGCCAGAAGAGCCAGAGCTTCCGCCGACACCGACACAAAAGGGACTCGAAGACCCAATTGTCACTACGCCGCCGACAGGCATCCACAACACGCCGTCTAAGCGCAGCGGAAGGCGGAGGAGCGATCGCGGCATGAAGAGCTCGCCATTAAACCAGCCACCCATGAGGCCATCTGACACGGGAGCACCGTCCAAGAAGCGAAAGCAGGGAAAAGAAGCTGTGCCTTTCGTAATTGAAGGGGAGGAGGACGCTGCGGCCGAGGAAGAGGCAGCCAGGCCAGATGATGGCACCGGAACGCACCTTGCGCGCAGGGTGCCACCGTTTGACCCACATTGTGAGCAGAGGGCGCAACGGGACAAGCTGCAAGCAGAGATTGCCCAGCTTCAGGCCGATCTAGAGCTTGCGACAGCTGAAAATGAGCGGGAGCGGGTGCGAGTGCAGCAGAGCGTACGGCGAAGCTCTAAGCAGCCTCAAGGCTCCTCAAACCAAGAGAGACTCTTGGACATGCTCAGCCGACATCTCCTCCCGGCAGAGCAAAGGGCACAAGCGCCAGACGCGTCGCAGCCGCTGTTCGACCTCGCCATGGACCCTACATCTTGGTTCACCCTTGCCTCTCCAGCTCTTCCCCTGACCTTGACCGCAGAAAGCGAGTCCACCCCCATATCTCACCACCCCATTCAAATGACAGCTGCCGAGGAACTTCCTCATCTCCAGATTTTCACCCCGTTCGCCATATCTCAAACGACATCCATTCTCCCCCGCGAAGATCCTTGTTTACCCCTCCTCCGCCAACACATAATAAACGTGTCTTCTAGCCCTCCAGGTCTCTTCGGCGCCAGGATCGAGCTAGTAGCCAACACGTCCACCCTCCGCGTCGACTCCCTCTCCGTCCCCGCCCTTGATCCCTCCGCCGTGCCCGAACTAGGCACCTGGATCGCCACCCTCTGCGACCGCGCCGCCAATACGGCGACTGAGCGCAACGTGACCCTCCTCACCTGGTCCATGGCCGAGTGGCACCGCATCGCCCTGCAACGCGCCCACTTCTGGGCCCTCCTCGCCGCCGAGACCAGCGACCCGCAGACGCTCCTCGAGACCGCCCGCGAACTCCGCCAACGGCGCAGGAAGAAGCGCCGCCGCGATGACGAGGACGAAGACCTCGAGGGCGACGCGCTGAAAAGCCCATCCAGGACAGATCTCATCGCCCACATGGGCCGCACATCTTTCGACATGCCCATTCCCGATGATTCGGTGGACGAGGCGCACTGGCCGCGGCTGCGCGTCTCGTGGAAGATACACTTTGATTGGACGGGTGAGGGGCAGAGCACAGTCGGGGTGTTGGCTGGGCTGCCGGGCAAGTGTACGTCGTACATCCAATCTTTTCTGCCGGATACGCAATGACTGACGAAGTACAGGGCACAACGCAGATGACAGCAAGGCGCTGAACGGGCTGCACAAGGTGTTTGGAGACATGGTCCGCAAAGAGGAGACGCCGATGCATGCTGTGCGGACCGTCGTTGCGCTGCTGGCGGGCGATGGCGGACGATAATGCACTGCTTGGATTAGAGCGTTGGAAGGACGTATTGGCTTATGATGTGATACTAGGTCTACGAAGTCATGATAACCTATTGAGAGTCTATCTTCGCACATTGTTCAAAAACCATTGATGCGTCATGCGGTTGATGATATGATCGTGAACGTACCACGGCAGAAGAACACTCCTGCAGGACAAGGCTTTTGTATATCTATATACGTACCGCAAGGCAACGCTGTTTCTCTAAACTAACAGATGAATTCGATCCGCGTCGACGATACCACGTCGTGGCTAGGGCCAGCTTCTTCGCCGTGAGGCAACACGCGACAGCGCAGGATCCACCTCCGAGGGTGGCGAGGTATCTGACGGGGACCATTGTCGGTCCCAAACAACAGCCTCGTCGCTCGAGATGCTGTCCACATCCATGTCATGGTCGGCGTTCCATCCGTCGTCCAAAATTCGTCCTTGTTCAGACAGGTCTGAACTCGAGTCACCAACAGTCTCCCTACCATTGCCAGCATCTTTCTCGTGTTCCTCTGCCTGTTTGCTGTCGACACTCTGCTCGGCATCTTCAACGGTCCGTTCGATGGTAGCATCGGCAAATTTCGGAATAGCGTCAGTTGTCGAGCGGGCAGATGGAAGGGCGCTCCTTCTTTTCTCGACACCTTGTCTGGCCCGGATCGAAGGCAGCAAAGCATTGCTGGTGGGCCGCTTGGTAGTCCACCGCCGACGGCGGATATCCCGTGCTGTGTCGCCGTGGGGTGGCGGATTGAGAGCGAAGTTGTGAACTGGGCCAGTGTAAAAGGTGAACGCTGGGCTCGACGTCACAGCCCTTGTGGCCTTGGGTCTCAATGCAAGTGCTGCGAACTCCAGTCGCCCTCCGCTTGCTCCCTCATCAGGCATGGCGACTAAGGCTGCTCTGGTAGACTACAGGCGGCCTTGAAAGGGAAATGTGTAGTTAACGATTGTACCGAACGAAATCAGGCCTGGTAAGTGGTTGGAAATGCTGCAGTGTATTACAATGCCCGAATGGCGATGCCGTCAAGGCAGAAGGCAAGCGAGCAAGTGATTTAAGATGGCGAGATTGCAAGGTGTCAAGCGACCTCGGGAGCAACAGAAACTCTAGACCAACCCGTAGGCGGCGCCAGAGCAGCTCCGCTGCTGGTACCATTTCTTTTTACCATTACTCCCAACATGGACTCTCTCCGTATGGGCCTGACCGTGCCTGCTTTTTTTGCTGCCTCTCCGTGTTCTCCTTCTCCTTTCCTTCCCTTAGTCGACATCCACACCCAGAGCGCGCAGGTCCACCTTGGCGAGATCAATCTCGGCCATGAGCTCCTTGTGGGCCTCGGGGACGTCGTTAAAGGTCATGACGTTGAAGCCCAGGCGGGCGAGGAGGTAGGCGCCGAAGGAGACGACGAACCAGAAGGGAAGCTGCCAGGGGGTTGCTGTTAGCGATAGTTCGACATGTCGAGGCGGAGTGCGAGCGGAAGACATACGACCGGGACAACCTGCTCCTGGACGATGGAGGGAAGAGGCACAAGCTCAAGGAAGAGCGCAAGGTAGAGCTGGGGGTAGACGTCAGTTGAGAGGAAGCGGCATGTTGGATGGAGGGGCAGGTCGTACGGAGCCAACGAGGAGAGCGAGGGAGATGGTCTGCTGGGCGCGCGTCATGGTGGGCAGTTTTGCGGTGATGCCTAACGTCCTGATGTGGAATCTCGAGGCTGAAGCTGCAGGGATGGGTTGTCAAATGAATGTCGTGGGTGGCCGATGTTCCGTCGTCAGTTGGAGCCGTATCGCGTATCAGCGGAAAAAAGGAGTCGCGACGCTGGCATCTCGGGCGTGCTCCAGCCAGCTCCTGCTGACTAAGGCAGCCTCCCCCCCCCTTTTGTGTCGATCTCCCACCCCTGGCATCTCTTGTCGGCACGTTTGCCTCGAACTCGCACCATCAGTCGCCTGCATCTCCAGCAAACATATCAATCGACCTCCATCGCCATCTTCCCGCCGTACCAATGCCCTTCCGCAGCTCGTCCTTGTCAATCGTGTCCGCCGCCGACATATTCATCCACTCCCTCGCAAACTCGGGCGGCACGGTCCCATTCTCCTCTTCCGCCTCGAGCAACCACTCCGGCAGCTTCTTCTCCTCGACCCAGTACTCGCCCGTCTTCTGACACCCCTTGGTCCGCTTGCACCGCCCACCGCAGCAGGGGCATTTGTAGTTGCGCCACTTCTCATCGTGGTCGCGCCGCCAGTAGTTGCACTTACCCGCCCAGCAGCACCCTCTCCTCGTGTGGCCCATCTTGTCGTGGCGGTAGTCGTACCAGAAGCGGCTCGGGTAATCTTCTGGTTCCTCCGGCGCCCCGAGCCGCAGCGAGTCTCGCCATCCGCAGAACCTCACGTTGTCCCCTTCGTAGTTGACACGACCGCCGGACCAGATGTGCAGTGCGTAGTCTGACTTGAGCAGCATGAAGGCGTCACAGGGTAAGGATGATGGGTATTCTGCTTGGCTGGTGGCCAAATCATGAGTCGTCAGAACCTGCACTTCAACCTGCTCGACCTTCAAGCGTTGCAGGAGCTCTATGTTCTGCGTTGTCGCGGCTTGTTCTCGGGAAACAAAGACCGTAAAGTCACGGCGTTCAAACTTGGAGTCTTCGACGTCGACTGCCGAGCCCTGGATCAGCCAGTCTATGGCAATCCTGTCGCTTGTTGTGTCGAGGCCAAGGATATAATGTTGTCGACAAGCGCGGGGTTCTGGCTTGCCCCTCGTGATCTTCGCTGATGGTTTGTCTTGGAATACCCAGCACTCGAGGTTGTCCGTCACACTGGCTTTTTCTTTCGCGTCGCTGTTGGCATCTGACACGGTATCGGTGTTGCCTGCGTCTTGCCAGATGGTACGGAGGTAGCAAATTCGGGCATCCGAGTCCTGCCACGCCGGCGCCATGATGCTACGGTGGGGAAACTCTCACAAGCCTGTTCGAATGAGCGATTCACTTTGGATCACAGCGATACAAAGTTGGTAGAAGACGCGCTTTTTGTACCGAAGCCGTAAGCAGGTCAGGTTGTCCAGTACCAAGCCTACCGTGCCGCATCTAAGCCACACTACCTTTAAGAATAAAACAGTCATACGGCGACGGCAACCATGAAACGATGCAACCTTTCCATGGAATGGCCGCATAGCATTCAAACAGTCGCAATTACTACCTTGCTAGTCAGGGTGAGATCGCGGTCAAATCTGACAAAACCGACAAAATGTTTTCTTCCGATCGGGGAATTGAACCCCGGTCCCCGGCGTGACAAGCCGATATCCTAACCACTAGACTAATCGGAACACTGGATTGATCTCCGAAGTGCAAGCTCCGTACGCTCCAATATATTCATAAAGATAAAGCATTCTCTGTATTCCCTCCGTTTCCTGCCACTATTCATGATCCATCTCAAAAGCAATCTTAGGAAAACGCTCCGCAGTGCTATAAAATACCTGATTTCATAATCTGTCGGCTATGCCTGTACAAGGCTTTGTTCTTTCAGAAGGTACCCGCGTGCAAGTTTGGACGATACCCATCAACAGGACGCGGCGGGCCAGGCACCGGCTCCCCAGTCGTGATTAAGCTCGTCGCATTGGTGATGATCTCATTGACAGCCAGAATGTTCTGTAGCGTGACAGGTACTTGCTTCTTAACCCACCCCAGTTCGGAAGGCAGCCTCTCGTTCTCTGTCACAAGGAAGTCAGCCCAGATCTTTGCACGTCGTAGACAGCACCGTGCAAAACTCACGGATCCAGTACTCGACGAACGCGCGGCTGACAGTGGCAGCCTCCATGTCGCCAAGCCCAATAATGGGCGCCGCGACCTCGCCGATGCTGAACTGCTCCATGGTGGAGGTGAACGTGTACGTCGGGTTGGTGGCCCGCGAGGTCACCTGGCGGGCAATCTTGCTGTTGGCGAGCATCGTGGCATCAATGACGTCGCCTGTCCAGTAGCTGCGCGTCTCGTCAAACACGGTCTGGTTGAAGATGTGGTTGCTGCCGAGGAAATCATCTGTGCGACTGAATCGGAGGGTTAGCTATCATGGACCACAAGGTCTCTGTCTCGATCCTCCCAGCTTCGTTGAATCTGATCACTTACGTCAGACTGCCGTCGTGCTCGAGGATATTGTGCACGTTAAGTTGGTCCAGTGTGAAGAAGGTGGCGTTTGGTGTTGGGTTGATGTGTATGGCCTGCTCCCACATGAGGGTTGCAAGGTCACGGTCGAAGCCGATACCCTCGCCGAGCGCGAAGATGGCATTCTCTTTTGTAATGTTGCGGCCGTCGTGGGGGAGGAAGTTGTGGTTCGCTAGAGTGTTCATCATCGGGCATGGGCCTCTGACTGAGAACTGTCAATATTTTCTTCGCAAGTTTCAAGAATCGGAATCGGTCTTTCTTACAATCATCAGGGCCGGCGGGCTCCCATACACCTGGCTCTGCTCGTTTGGACAGGCTGGCCATGTAGGAGGGAGGGTAGGCATGAACCATTGCCACGGCGAGTGACGAAGAGAAGATAGTGAACTTCATATTGGCGATTTGAATTCGGTAGTAAGAAAATGTCCAGAGAAAGACGCCAGACAACCAACATGGAGGCATCATGTTGATGGGGAACATCGATATTTAAGGTCCTCTTCCCAGACGGCAACTCTCTGGCCCTGCTCTCAGTTGCTCGCATAGGCCATCCGTTGCTATGACATCTTGTTCCATCATGCTTCTACAATCGAACCCGAAAGCCTCGCGTTCTGAAGACATCAATGCTCCAAAAGCAATGTCAATGTCACAGTTGACCAGCAATGCACAGAAGTGGAGTCCAACCACCGGCACTCAGCAGAGGCGTCGATCTGCAAGATTGCAGATCCCGCGTCATGGCGGCACATCGGGGAATTACGCTCCCAATTCCCATCGACGTGATTACGCGCCCCTGCAGGGCTGTCCCACCGCAGTGAAGCTCCCTCCTCCCACCACAGAGCGTCCTGGCTCGTCCTCGGTTTCGGTATGCACGGCCGTTCTTCGCGTTTCTCGGGCAGGTCTTGAATGGTGTCTTACTCGGCTTTTTATGGAGAAGAACCCGAGAGCGCTCGCGATGGTCCGAGGAGTGGTCCATTAGTTTGCTGTGCCTGTCGCATGTCAAACAATTGGGCTGGGGCTAACAATGGAGATGTCAGTGCGGTTACACTCGTTCAGGGGCTCACAACATTCTATCGGAGCCTTTCGGATTTCTCGTTAAGTTGTAACTCCGGGGCATGCATCCTTGTATGACGTTCCAAGTAGTCAATGACACTGACCAACAGCATCCTGATCATTGGACATATACTTCGTGGGTGTTTATCGAGGCTCGGCCCATCAGGATTTGACTTCATCTCGGCCACACAACCGGATTTACCGGACAATGTTCTCCGTGTACTCAGTCATGCTGAGTCGGAAGCGCAGTCCATGACCTGAAAATATCACGAAATCCTTGTATTTCTTGCTTGAATTGACAATGCGCATGACAAAGAGCTCTGTCTGTCCGCCTTGTGTGCCGCAACATCCAGCCCTGTTGACTTCCTTCACTTGGCGCTTGCTTTGATGACCTGATAACACAGGACATACCCCGACTCATATGTCATTGCTGCGGCCAGGAGACAACACCAGTGGAACACATTACTCACGTATGAACGAGGCAGTGCTGGAACCCTCTCGCACATAGGAAGCTCCAGGTATAGGCCATCGTCAGAGTCCGGTTATTTCGCCACGTAGGCTAACGATTCTCGTGTTATCAGGATGGGCAGACATAATTGGGTACCGACATTGCAAGGTCAAAAAGGGCGATACACTTTAACACATGATATGACAGCGCAAGAAATGATCACCGCTTCTTGCCTGCTCGACTCTGGTGCTCTCGCCCCGCCCAGCTGTTCTGCAGATCAGTATTGGTGAAGCGGACTGATCGACATGTAAGCTGATTTCGGGGTTTACGAAGACCCGAAAGCCCTAACTGTAGCACAGAGCGGCAATCATGAAAATATGAGACTCCCCGCTCTAGCATATCATAAAGGGCTCGAACCGATGTTTGAGTGGCTGGGCTGCTGGAGGCGCCAGAGTCATTCTGGACAATGCCATATACTTCATCCTTACGGGGACCACGACTTCAAAAGTGTAGGGCTGACTCTTCAGTTCACATGCAACGAGCCGGAGCCCTCGAGATGTGTTGGAGTAGGGTTAGTGAGCTCTGACAGTCACAAGAACATCCGTGGTCCGTCACGCATCTCGATCACTACGAATCTTTCCGGGTTTCGCTCGAGTTCCCGGCTCGGATGCTTTAATCGACCAAGCACAGTACGCCGAGTCTTACATACCGCTTTGACTAACAAATTAGTGGAATTTGATTTTCTGAAAGTGGAATCTCTGGCATACCAAGGGCTCTTCAAGTCCATTCTTCTTCCGCCTCCCGTCCACGGCTCTGGCTGCTGAAGTGTATTATGACATAGCTATTCGAGCGACCCATAAATCAGGCAGTCCAAATTAATGAAATGGTAGTGATTGTGATTGGACTAATGATCGGCATTTGGAGCAAGTTGTGTTGCGTTGATTGCCAAGAGGTAAGCAATCTACATCCTGCTTCTTGGGCCATGATGGATATCTTCAACAGTTGACTTGACTCGCAACCAGCTCATCGTGGACTTAGTGATGCATAACGGTATTTGGTCTTGGTCTTGAGCACTGCAGAGCCTCAGGCCCCAGGCTCTTACAAGCATGGTAGTTTATGCTTATTCCTGATTTGTGTAAGTTGTGTAAGTAGAATATACGCTGCCTGATACAAATCTCATGCATAATCTCAGAGACAAGATCAACCTTTAGTTCTTGCCCTGAACGATGCAATGTAAAGTCTATGACCAGTGAGCAGCATCATTTATGCCTATGACGAGTACTGGACCCATGACCGGACGGGGGCCGGACCCACAGGGCGGGATGACTGCCGGACCCACACGGAGCGGCACCGGACGTGCAGCGGGGCGAGCACCGGACGCTGATGCTACCTGCAATGGACATATCGTCGCAAGTTTAGGATCTGGAAAGAGTATAAGGGACGAATATCAGTACTTCGTCTAAATTTCCAATTGGAGAATTTTCGTCCAATTTGTCTGCTCATTAGGGCAATTGCCCGAGCTGCAGGCAAACTCCTATATGCCTAACTTCCAATTAACCAGTTTCAGCAGCTCCCTTATGCACGCCTCTTCCCTAGAACCTAAGTGTGCCTCAATCAATCAATTTCGATGGAAGGAAGAAGCATCTCGTCCCGAAGGTCACTCTCGTGCTCCTGCTTGATGTCAACGCGGGGATGAGCACGCTCCGAATGAGCTCTCTCACCATCAGACTCTCCAGCGGCAGTGCGGACGCTGGCGGCAGCGGCAGCAGCAACTGCAGCCCTGCTCTTGCTCTTGCCATGACCAATATTTGAGGCCTTGCCCGAGGCGTCGCGCTTCCGGAGGCCGCCCTTGTAGACGCGGTTGAGGAAGCACTGGGCATTGTGCGCCTCCCTCTCCAGATGGCCAGCTTCTTTGCGGAACTTCTTCGCTTGCGGACGATCGCCGCGCTTGTCGAGAGTCTCTCCATGGGAGAGCGCCAGCTGGTGGATGGCGATAGTCTGTTCGGCATTCTTAATGTCCTGGTACAGTCCATTGTCGGCCTCAATCTCCTGTACCGCGAGCGCGACGTCACCGAGGTCACAGTGCTCGCCGTCCTGGTTCAAGACAAGATGCTTGAGGAGGAGGGCGGGGTAGCTGCCGCCGTAGATGGCGACGACAGTGATGGCCTCGCGTTCGGTGAGCTTTTGATGCTCTTTGACCTTGTTCATGATCGTGTTGACCAGGTAGTGGTCCTTCGGATCGGTGCGCCAGTAGTGGCTGTTGATCTCCTCGGTGATGTTCTCCGCAAGTTCGGCTTTGGCTTGACCTGGAGCGCTGCTCTGGACGAGCTGCTTGTGAAGGAAAGCCTTGGCTGTAGCCATCTCGTGCTCGAAGCAGAGGTGGTTCTCCACGAGGATTTGGTTATCGGCCCACTCGGGGACCTTGCAGCGCTGGTACCATTCCGAGAGGGAGCGGTTGTAGGTGTTATTGTAGTTCACGGGAAGCATAGCCTCAAGGGCGAGGAAATCGACAATGTTGGGGTGTCGCTCATTTTGCGGGCTGTTGCTGTCCTTGAGAGAGTTCATTATGCGCTGGTAAACGGCATTGTCGGAGATGAGTCGCCGGAAACCGTTGTTCTCGATGCGCTGGTTGATGAGCTGTAGCATGGTGGGAGTGTAGGTGGCTTCCGCGCGGATGTATGACTTGGTGAGAACGACGCGACGCGCCTTCTCATTGTCGTCAAGCAGGTTTGTGCGGCTGGCTGCGGAGATAGGTCTCCGAGGGGTTGGGTTATCGGCCATGAGGTTAAGAGTTCGCTTTGTATAGGATATGTGTTTGTTCTTTCGTGATTGATGAAGGAAGATGGCAGTTAATAGTTATGGGGTGGTGAGGTCGTGAGGTCGTGAGGCTTGGAGGTGGTTAAAGGAAGGCAGGTCAGTTCCTCTCTTAAGAAAGCATCTAAATATATGAATCCGAAGGCACGGACCAATGGAAGAGCCACTCAAGAGGCAAGCACGAGCAGGCAAGGTAGGTAAAGTACCTAGAGGAGTGAATGCGGACACGGTCATATCAGAAGGAAGAAGGAAGAAGCGCATACGGCTGGAGACAACACCATTCACAGGATGCCACCCACCGGTCCACAGGACGCAGAGCGCCGGCCCGCTGGACACCCGCAGGATTGGACCGCCGGCCCACTGGACGCAAACCTCCGGCGTTGAGGATACAATCCACTGCCTCATGACATGCCGATCGTCTATCAGGATGCAATGAACTTTGAGAGAGCTGAAAAGTGACGCTGTCTCAGGAGATGCTGGCCTCTAGCGAGTTGAAAAGAGACTGTCCGGGACTCCATGTCGAATCTAGTCCAGGTAGACGCAGACTGCCTATGAGCGAAGTCACTCAGCATTAGCGACAAGATATTGCAAACGGGTTAGTCGGACACAAATTCAGAGCATCTCGAGGATGTTTACAGGAAGCCAGAGACTAGGTTCAGGGCACCTAGTCAGGATATTGTAATAAAGTGACATCAGCATAGAGAGAATGGACAACAACATCAAGACAAATCGATAGTAAACACACAGCACCACGGCACAAATGCCATGCTCTATGCTAACGTAGCCCCAATAAGATGCAACGATTGGAGGCAAAGAACGCGCCCAAAATCACAAAGACCGCTGGTTGGACAGACAAAACTTGTGTCGAACTTCAGACCATTAGTGTAGCTCTCACTGTGAAAGGAGCAAAAAATAATGCCGTCGTGCGCCTTCCGTTGAAGTCTGAAAGAACCATGTCATGCTTGTTCAATCTGGTGAGACTGACGCTCTGGGCATGGATAGGAGATGGCCACCAGAGGATGTAATAAGAATCGTGGCAGGGAAAGACATATCATTGACTTGGCCAAAGGACCAGAATCCTGCACTTTTACCTTGCATCTTGTAAAGATGCTCGGTGAAATATGGGTAGATTCAGTTGGTGCTCAAATTGCACGAACGAAACGTTATTCCAAGCGGCAATCTTTAGCTTGCAACGAATTAAAAACACCGCTCATCAACTTCTCTTCTACGGAATACTCAGGGTGGTGATGACGACCTCGGGAAAGGTTGACATGATGCATTGCTGAGGCAAAATCTTACACATTCTCCTGTTTCCGAACAACTCCAGTACCGTCGCGCACTACTTCGGACGCAACCTTGCTACACCGCAGCCTAGCTTCCCTTCAAGACACCCTGGCTCCCGACTATGAGCCACCACCACTCCGCTGCTTTGTAGGTTTCTCGTCGAATTGTGGAGTGCTTCTTACGCCCTGTTATCGTTGACTCTGTGGGTGCTGCCGTTAGTGCACTGCAAGCTGCGCTCTACGCCTTCGGGTGTTACCACAGGGCCGCCCTCACTCTTCGACCCAAGCCTCCTCCTACCCGCGCCCTCCTCCCCACAGCCAACAACATCCCCCCCGGTTCCAGCGACCCGCCCTCCGAGTCCCTCCTCGAAGAGGCCTCGGCGCGCGCGGCCACCGCAGAAGACAACCCGGTCCGGGGAGAACCTCCATCGGTATGACGAGGCGCCGTTCCTGACGCGGGCCGCGGGGACGGAGGTGTTTAGGGCGATGGCGGGCGATGGCCGAACCCCGTGCGGTGTGAAGTCCGGCTTCCGAGTGATGGCGTAATTACAGTGTCGTGCCATCGAAAGAAATGCGAGTCAACAGAATGTGAATCACATTGCACATGACGCCCTAGGGTAGGTTCAAGATTACTTCATTATGTATGTATCGCTTTTAAACACGCTCCGGTATGCAGAAATCCAAGACGGCACCTCAATAGAGCACCCTCTCCTCCCAGAATGGTGCCTGCTCGACCTCACACCCAACTTTCCCATCCTCCTGCAGCCAGGCACCCTCGTCAGTGGCCTCGACCTTGCCGTACCGTGCGCAATGCTCCACCTCTTGCGCGCTGACGCCGCCCTCATCTTTGGGGATCCACAGCTTCGGTGCGGGCTCCCACATCTCGGGCGGGTAATATGTCTTGAAGACGTAGTCTTCGGGGTATGTCGATGTTGGGTCTGGAAGATCCTTGGGGATCAGTTCACGCAGGTGCGCGAACGAGTCGAACGTCGAAGGGTGCAGGAACCGCATGATCGGATTCGGAGTCGGGCTGTATTCTGGCCTGATAATGGCGTCGATGCGCTCGAGGACCGGCCCGAGGCCGATCTTGTGGAGCTGGGCTGTGACGGCCTTGACGTACGCGTTCCACGAGACTTTGGCGAACGTCCTGCCCAGCGAGGCGCTGCCTTCGAGACCTGGATTGGAACCCCCTCGGTTGCCCAGAGTGACGTGTTCAGGACCGTCGTCTTCTTCGTCTTCGTCGCCGTCTTGACCGAAGATGTGCGGAGAAGAGTCGGCCACTCCGATGTCGGACAGACCAGGGGAAGGGAAGTCGTCGGTCCTGCTGAGCTCCTCGATCTCGAGCGCAAGAGTGCGCGGGAGGTTGGCCAGCAGAGGGGCTAGGGCCTCGCTCAGGCTGTAATGGAAGAGCGCAGTGAAGATGAGGAAGATGATCATAAAGATCATAGGGTAAAAGGCGGAGCGGAGGACGAAGAGGCCGACCAAGCAGATCTCGGAGAGGTAGAGGCCGAACAGGAGATGCTTGAGAGCCCGTGGGTAGCAAAGACCACGGGTGTCGATGGATGAATCCTCGACAAACAGCAGATTGTACTTGCTGACGAGGTAGATGACGTACATGCCGACAGAGGCAAAGCCGAGAACGACTGGCGCAATGCAGGAGTAACTGATCGCGATGACTCCCATGTTGGTAAAGACGGGAAACCACCCTCCCCAGTGGACAGGACGCACCCTCTTCCAGACGCGCCACTTCACGCGGGGGTTCTGGACGAAGCGCGCCATGATGCCATGGCGAAGGAGATCGTAGAGACGAAGGAGGTTGCCAGCGCCAACGGCAAGGCACTGGATGAGGATGTAGGAGAGGTAAAAGTTGGACGCTTTCGGGAGGTTTTCGGACAGCAGGTCTTTCGCGCTGAGGGGGTCTTTGAGGATTTGGCTGAAGGCTGCGGACGCGGCCGACGTCAAGGTCGTGACGAGAAAGACCTGGACCACCTGGAAGCCGAAGTAAAAGCTCTGCACGTAGAGCTCAATATCGGATAGCGAAGGTTCGCCAGCGACGCGAGCGCAACCTGATTGCGTTAGTAAAAAGCGCCGATATTCGCGGTATCATGTGCTTACCTCTCAAAATCCATGGCACGATGGCCATCAGTAACGACAGCGCCAACGCAGGCAGTAGACCCTGGATGACCCCGAGAACGACCTTCGGGAGTAGCATGATCCACTCCAAAAAGAAGACCATCTGGCTCAGCTTTTCAATGTTGGTCAATGTTCCGATCAAGGCCGATGGAATGGACCAGAAGATGATGGCAGCTACAATCGCCGCCAGCATGGCGAAGCGTCGCGCCATACGAGCGAACCAGTTCATGCGCAAAGAGTCCCAAACGATCTCGTCAGGCCGGATGCCGATGAAGCGTGGCGACATGAACATGGGTTTATCGTGGGCCAGCGTCTGGTATGCGCGCTGAGCGTCGGACTGCGTGGCGAACTCGATAAAGACCGACTCCAATGGCCTGCCCTCGGTGCCGCGGTGAAGTCTGCGCCGCAGCTTGGCAATGGCAGGGTTCAGCGCCTTGAGGCGGCGTCTCGTCCACTTGATGGTGTCGACGCTACGGAGGAAGTTTCCAAGGGGTCTATGGCGGGGTCGCTTGTCGGCCGGGATCCATTGCCCGGCAACAGAGCCATTGACGTCGGGAAGTGTTTGAGGGAAGCCGGCGTGCTTCTCTGGATCTTCAGAAAGCTTCGGTGACGGAGGCGCCGAAGACGTGCCAGCTGGGAGTGGCGTCGTGGATGTTGAGGGTGAGGAGGGTCGCGATGCGTCGGAGAGCGACACAGGTATGGCTGCCGCGGGATGGTGAGGCGAGTCGCTCGGCGGAAGCAGGTGCTCCGGCAGTGCGGGTGCGGCGCGCTCACCGCGCCTTCTTGCGCGATCTGCCATTTTGATGAGTTGGATCTCAGCCCTCTCTAGGCGGGTGGCGGTCTTGGTGCGCTCATCGACGAGGTGCTCGAGATCGATAGTGTCTCGAAGGATCCAAACATGCTTCACCGAGTCACCAAAGACCTTACGAAGGCGCGCAGCATCGCGATAAGCTGGCGGTACACACTGAAAAAGAACGGTGCGAGATGATAGTCGGTTGGCGTAGTATGGCGACAGCAAATAGGCGTTTCGAAGGTTGATGTAGTAGATCGACTCGCGATAGATGGTGAAGAGAATGAAGCCTGGTTCGTGTCAGAAAAAGGAACAAACCAGTACGCACAACAGAGGACAATACCAAAGAAGACCCATGCGACGGCAACATGAGCGAAGAATGTGTTCGGATCGCTGACATTGCCGATCGTCACGCGCTCCAGCTCTGTCAGGCCATTTCCACCAGTTGCATGCAGAGGCATGAGCACAGGCCAGACGATGCAGCAACCGACGAAGCAGATGAGTGAAAGCACCTTGAGGTATCGTAAGAACAGGAAGGCATCCAATGATGAATGGTTCAGAACAAAGTCGTCGCCTTGCTTCCAGAAGGGTTTCAGCCAGTTAAACCATCCTTGCGGAAGAGGTGGACTTCGCTCCCTGTTGCCAAGTCAGCCTTCGAAATCCAGCGGCGAGACAAGCGTCGTTCAAGCTCACTCTGCAAACAGGCTGTGCAGGATGGACCGCGGTGAGTACACCCGTTGCACTTTTCTGCGGAAGAACCAGAATATGATGAGGCACACGGCTGAGTAGATGAGCACGGGCAGAAGGGTACTCGTGAGCGAGGCCAAGGACGCGGAATCGCCCTTGTTGCCGAGCTGCTTGCTCAGCGTGCCGCCATCGCCATCGTCGCGCGCGGAGCCGGTGCGAGAATCGTCGCCAAAGTCCATGGCGGCGGGTCACCGTTGGGGGCACCGTTGGGGGCACCGTCGGGGAAGCAAAGCAGACTCGTTGTCTACCTGGTCATGTCGTGTCGTCCATGCAGTTGTCGCGCTACCGAGCAACGTTGCTGCTCACGATACGAGTTGCGCTGTGTTGTCGAGTGCCGCGAGTCGTGTCGCTGTGGTCTGCAGCAGATGAGGTTGAGCAGGCGACAAAAGTCTGTCACACGCGGCAGGGCGGATGAGTGGTGAAGTCAGATCGAGAGGGGGTCGCTGCGGCTGATGGGGGGGAGAATGGACTCGGCGAAACGAGGTTACAGCAGGCGGCAAGCAAGCGGCAAAACGGGCGGCGAGCGCGAGGGCACACTGCTATACAGAGACGGAACGGGCGTTGGGCGTTGGGTATTTAATCGGCGGTTCTGGACCACCCCTGGGCTGCCTCGCCCGCGCCTCAATCTGGGGGCCTCCTTGTTGGGCGAAGGGCATCGGGCGAACGTGCCAAAACGGCCCAAGGCGACAAGACAAGGTGGTGTGTCTCCTGTACTAGTCGCGTAACACAACATCGGTCGAAAAGAGTGGTAGCGTGGGTACCGTGCAGTGCTGTGCCTGTCACGTCGATGCAAGACAAACGAGCGGTGGCCGCCGTGTCTCATCCCAAGAGAACCAATCGGTAGGGCAGCCATGCCGATCCCCAGGGCCAGGGGGTGGGTGACCCATCCGCCGTTGGTTTTCTTCTACCCTCTCGTGTACATGTATTCCTTTGTGACTGGCAACGCCCAGGCAGCGCCGTCGACACCGGCGCAGCGCTATCGTTGAGAAAAATCGGGTATCTCAGGGGTCGGGGGTCGTCGGCGTCAGCTTGTCAGCGCTGGTCCCGTCGGGGATGTGGCGGGGCACCGGCAGTGTTGATGGCTTCAAACGGCGGCGATCCCGAAATGGATGGATAGAGGATGGATGAATGCATGTCTTTTCTTCCAGGTTCTCCCAGGTTGGCGGATGCTGGAACCGGAATGGAGACAGAGACACTGTGTAGAGGGGGGAAAAGAAAGGTCGAGATTGGCCGTGTCCAAGGGCATTTGCTCCACTCCAGCCTTCGTCAGCCACTGCCCTCGGAATGCGCGATGCCATTGGCCGAACAGATCATCAGAGGGAGATTGGCCCTCACCAAATGTCCCAACTCTTTCTCTGCCATCCCAAAGTCACGACCGTCGTCCCATCTCTCACCTGCCCGAAATCTGACATGTCAATTGTCATTTTCTGCATGGTGGAGAATCTTCAACTTGGACCCTATAGTTCGATGACTTAGAGATGGATCCCACGACGATCTGTGACTCGGAGCCGATGACTCGACTGGTGCGAGGCGCGGAGCAGGTTCGACGCCCGTTGCTGAAACACCGTCATCCAGACCAGACCCAGCCAGCAGGATAGATAGCCAGTCCGAGACCTGAATCGGCCCCCATTCCTTCCGACGCCATCACAGACACCGTCACAGACAGTACAGCGCATTCTGCGTCCTGGGGTCACAAAAACCTTGTCACATTTGCGCTGCTGTTCCTCGCCTCATCTCGCGTTATGTGGCTCAACTATTCCCGCTAACAAATCCCCTACAGGCATCAAGAACTGTCCGTCGGCACGAACATCATCTTGGCTTCCCCGTCGCAAATGTCCACTACGAAGCGCAGTGGACCGATCGCCACCACGCGTTGCTCGTCTATTTTGCCTTGCCGTGGTCTCACAGGCCGAACCACCCCGGCCGACTGCTTCGCCATCTCCTGACAACCCATGTCTGCCACGAGAGCTGGCTCCGGGCAGAGGAGCTTCGTTGACGTGACCTCCATCTCCTGTGACGCCCGCCATGCCTGTTGCTGAGCATCACAAAAGACACATAGCCATGCTCCCGCGCCGAAAGTGCATGCTCCGACGTTGCCGCTGCTCCTCTTCCTCCCGCGAAGGTGTCCTAGTGCTGTTCTCAGCTCCTGGACGATGGCCTTCGGTGATATGCAGCTCGTAATCGTGGGGACGCCGTTCTGACGAAGCCCGCGAACCTTCCAGCCCGTCTCCTCGCGAGATTGCATCGAGGCAGCATCGACACGGTCGTGGACTGCAGTGGGGCAGCATGTCGGTTCCTGCGTCTCAGGGGCAGGGGCTCTACCTCTCACAGCTCGTCGTGGCTGGACCCTCCTCGGCGGTGCTGGAGGGCCTCGCTTGCTGACACGTCCGGAGCTGGCGTGGCATCGCTTGAGGTTACGTCTTGGCGCTTCGCTGGCCTCTGTCAGGGCGCTTGCTCGGTACTTGATGAGACTGGCGTGTATCTGTCCTGATGCTTGGAGGAAGTGCTCGAGGCAGAAGACGGTCTTCCGCGGCACCAATACCAGAAGCCTACCTGGATGTACCATTCTATCTCGGGTTGGGCGATATGTCAATTTTTTTGTCGGTGGAAAGCTTTGCTTCGAGTGAAGGAGTCGGTCCAAGAGTCGCCATTTAAGACAGCGTTATCTCCAGACGTCTTTCGACATCGACCTCCGTGTCTTCGCTCTTTCCCGAGCCCCGTAACAAAGGGTTCGCGAGGTAGTTATCTTGGTTCCCTTGTTAAAGGAAAGGACAAAGGCGTGCGGTCCCCCTTCACTCTGTCCACAAAGGACACACATCTCGCACAATGCCTTTGATGTCCCATCAAGATTGAGAGATCATGTTGGCGAAGATGGGCATTCGTGTCCAGGCTTGGACGTACGACAACGGATGTGGTTCTTCGCCCTCGTCGCACTGTTCTACCTGCCGTTAACAGAGCAAGCACTTTCACGCGTCTTCTCGAAGCTTTGAGCATCAGGGTTTCTCGGAACGATCATCTCCGTTCTGTTTCCTGACATTGTTGTCTGTCTACTGTTGATGTAGCTTTCCTAGCTGATTGATCGAGAATTGATAACTTCTTTTATCACGTTTCGTTACCATACGAGGAAAGAGAGTCCGCATCCTCATCCTGTGATGGGGAGTGTGGAGAGTACGGACTATGACCTGAGCACAAGTGCATAACATCGTCAATCTGAGCAGGTAAAATGCCGAAGTCCAGCCTGGCGAAGAACCCGCACTGCAAATTCCCCAAGCGTCCATCTCGGATTGCTGTTGCCACGCTAGCCCAGGCCACAGCCGCGAAAGTACTATACGGTCGTCGGAGTCGTGTTGACGGAAGCATGTCCAGGTTGGTTGTTATCGAGGGTGGAATGAGCAAGATGCTTCGATACTCTGTATACTGGTCCCGTTCATCGCAGAAACTGAAATATTCGATGCTGGAGGGCAGTATGTCCCCCAAGTTAAATCGAGGAGGGTAAGGGGATTGGTATAAGATCTCATCAGTGTTATGAGAAAAAAGCTTTAAATGCCGGAGCTTGGGTAGTCGTAAAGGGCTAGAGAGACATTCTGTCATTTCAAGCCAGCTGGGATCGTCCTCGTTGTCTCGTAACGTCAAGCTTTCCAAAACGGGGCAGTTGGTAGAAAGCGCATCAAAGAGAATGTTGACACAAAATCTGCCGTTGTCACCTCGACAGTAGATGCATGAAATGCACAAGTCTTTCAATCCGGAAAAGGACTGAAGCAGGTTTTCTGTCATGTCGATACTTTCGCACGATATATCCATTCTCACGCTGGCAGATTGGTCGGGGAAAATTCCTACTATGCCAGGATCGATGTCTAGGCATCCGACAACCTGCGTCAGAGAACGTAATGAAAGCAGTGATGGGAGGAAAAACACAGCTATTGATTTGCGTCCCCATGGGTCCGTTCGGTCGGAAATGAATTCCGCAGATATAAGTTCTGGGAGAACCAACGGTCGCGTGTCGTTGTTTTTTAAAAGGTCGGTCATGATGTGGTTGAGGAGAACTTCACCGAAACCGTCAGGGTCGCGGGAATAGCCTTCCTCACATGGCAATATGTCGTGGATTAGGAACCTCAATCTTCGTACTGTAGGCAACATGCAGAGGAGGAAGGCATAGACAGCGTGCAGAGCCGAATACCTTTTGTTGAACTCAATAGAATCCAGTAATTCCAGTTGAGCAATGCTGTAGCGGCAGATGTTGCAGGTGCAAGCGTTGAGGCCAGGTATTGTGTATCCTTCCACAGCGCCTGACCATAAGCCAAAGGTACAACCTCGATGGCTAGCATGATGAGTCGTTGTCTGTTTGATCTGATTCAGAATGCTCCACTCGACATGGTTCCCTCTTGTGCTTTCTTCGATAGTTCTCCAGGCTTCGAAGTCTCTGCTGAACGTGTCAAAGTGGGTTTGACAGCTCCCATAAATGAGATGGTATTTGACGTCTATACAGCTGACGTATTGGCGAAGACAACGGCGCTCCTTCAGCGTTCTGATGAACAGCATGGCTGAATACAAATCTTCGAGGAAAACTTTGGAATAAAGGACCAATTGCGCGATGGGCAGCAGATGTCGGGAGGTCAGGCAAAGGTGGCGTAACGGGGTCGTTGGTGCTCCACCATTTTGTTCGAATAACTTTATCTCCTTCGGGAGTAGCTTGAAGATAATGAGGATTATCTCGTTGGGTAATTGCAACAGACATGAGCTCGGCGTCATGTTGTTTGGCAGTTTGGTATTGTGGATGGGTTGATCGTGGAGGCAAGCGCAGGGCTGAGGAGGCAGAACGGGACGTTTCTTAGCCGTTTCTGATTCTTGTGTAAGGTAGGTAACTTACTGAAGTTTGGAGATCGACGTAAACTAGAAAAGAATTCTCCGGAGCTGGCTGGTTCGTAATGAAGAAATTGGCGTGGAAAGGTCTGAAGTGGTAGGAATAGCAAGCACGTCGCAGCTACAGGATTTATGGTGGACACCTCCATGAGGCAAGAGCAGGTGGACTTTAAGGTAAGGTAGTTTATAGCGTTTTGTTCGATGAGGCGGGCGCGAAACTAGATTCACATTCCGTGAGTAGGTACCTATGGTAAGGTACTTGAAAGGAAAGCGCAGACTTTTTCGCATGGAAGGCACCCGAAACAGGAGACACCCTCAG